AGGTTTCAACGGTGCCGAGACGATATGTGAGGAGTGACGTTCAGCGCGAACAAATGGTCGCAGAATCTCCTGTACAGGTAGTCCTATAACCTGAGCTTTATCGTATATGCATATTTACCTTGGGTGACCTTTTTGACAGCAGCACTCGTCTCACCTCGCCAGCAAACGCCCTCATTATTTCGAGTTCACGTACAGGGTTCTGGATCGACTGGAAGTCCTTGGGTCGAAGCAGGGGAAAGTCCAGGTAGAAGCTGGTAATTACTTCGATCTTAGGGTGGGAATACCACTCCAAGCATTTATTTAAGGAGATGTCAACAAAAAGCCGGGTACTTGACTAAGGTATGAGCGACAGAACTTAAAGAGAGTCCACCCACGAAACACACACAGAAAAACGGACAAGTGCTCCGGTCACCGGGGGGTCTATCCACCAGGCTAAAAGAAAAATCTTTCAATTTAATATCATATACGATTTATATAGGGTATACAGTGTATTGAAGCGAGCATAAAGAAAAGGGTTCAAGAGACTGTGCGAGACGAAGGGGGTGGTTAGAGGACTCACAGTTGAAATGTGGGAAAAACACATAATAGTTATAATAGAGCATCAGCCATGAAAAGATCAGTCAGAGAGAGACGAGATCATGTGTTATAGTAGCTGTCCTCTTAAAAGGAAGACACAACGTATATAAGAAGTGCTAAAATAATGATCATGTATATAGTAATCATAAAAGTGGTCAAAAAAATTCATACGGCTACACAGTGTAAAGCAACTGACATATACAGTCACCACAATTTACACTATACAGGTAATCCCAACAGGGTAAGCACGGGCATGATATATATATGTATATTAAATCACTATATTGTGATTGTATTAAGTCTTACGTCACCTGCAGAACCCCATGGCTGGAGCGTACTGTATGAGGTAGAGGGGCATCAAGAATGTCAAAAAACATGGATGACGAGTGCACACACTTCCGAAGCATGAAGATGAGAGTGACATCAGAGCACCGTGCAGCCGATTTACGGGGAACTCAGTGCTTCAGTCTGCCACCACACACCTTCCTCTATAGATGGGAAGACTACTTCTGAGTTAGGCATCTAATTCACTCGGTACTACAGGCACACCACCTCGAACCACCAACATTGACACAACCATATTTCAAGACAGCGATCACTAGCAAGAGCCCATAAAAACGTCATAGTAAAAAACGTAAGGCATAAAAAATGTCAGAAAAACTACCAGCGTATCACACACTGATGACACACAAACACAACACACCTCCATCCACTTCAACATGACGGACAGCATAAAGACACACGAGCTGTTCCATCACAACAAAACCTCATAAAATTGCCTCGAGCATCAGTCAGATAGATTGCTATACACACACACAACAGTCACAACAAAAATGTCATATTATCAACGAGCGTAATCACGTACAACACATCATCAAACACAAAGATTGCTCCACAGGAGCGTAATAAACAGTTTCCCGGCTATCAACATATCACTCAACAGAGAGCAGCGAAGAAGACACTATGATGAGCTGCGAACCTCAATCTCTCGTGGTGGGTCCTGACACCGGGCAGGTGCGCCACCAAGGAGTTTACCTTGTTGATAAGTTCTATATCACGTCTGTGTCCAGTTATCAGGCGTTCACACCTTAAAAGAACCTCTTCCTAACTTGGAATTCTACCCACGAAGGGAGAGCAAATCCAACCTGGGCCGAGCAGATTGTTTGAAATTACCTCACGAAAGCTTTGATTTTTTGGTTTCTTGGAGCACACGCACTATACCTAGCGTGCGTCTATCTTAAACAAACCTACACCACACGGGGAATATGTGTGAGGTGTTACTACCCAATTAGGAATCAACCCTCAAAACGTTCATAAAAATGCTTCCACTGTATAACATTAGAATTATAGACAGTTACGTAGTCATTCTATATAAATATATCCAACACACATAAACTAAAAAAAAAGGTGTAGTATAGCACCAATAGCTGGATGGTAAAGCGTATATGTATAGCTAGCGCATAACAGATGGTCCTGATTAATGTCCAACATCACTACAAATAAAAAGAAGGCTCCAGACCTCCTAAACGGATGAAAAATGCTTCAGCGAGATAGAGGATCATAAATAACGTTATATTAGAAAATAAGTGTAAGGGCCCTGAAACATCGATAATAAAGATGTGCGCCATTGTGTATAGTAGGCAAATGAACAATGTCCAAAACATTATACTATCAGAAGTTCACTTTGTGGAGCCTCAAAACATTGTCTAAGAACATCGATATAGTAAGGAAAAGAGAAACGAACGTCCAGAGAGAAAGACACTCATTTAAGATTAATACAGGTGTGTATATAGAATTTGTCGAAAATGTCATTAGTATAGCATGAGTGAGTGTGCATAAAAACTGCGTCAACAAAGCTGACAGTACAGGCGAGAGTCCAATGGACAGAGATGAGCTCAAACCAAGCCATATACCTTCTACACTTCACACGTGACAAGCCCGAACCGAATAAAAAAGGCTCTCCCTACCTATTGGTGCCACCCTACCATAAAATGCCTCAGCAATAAGTGATGTATAAATGTCAAAAAAATGTTCACAGTTAATAAGTAAGACTATAATAAAAGTGCTCACAGAGAGAATATATACACAGGAGAGTTCCATGGCGATGCACCTAGGAGTTTCTCGGGATAAGACTATCCCGACAGGGGACTGTTGTTTCACTTTTTCAAGTTGAATTCTAGGAGCCACTCTAAATATATTATAATGAGTACCTATATGAGCCACCCCATAAATCAACTCCAAAATGTCAAAAAAGTGTCATTGGTATAGTAAAGGCAAATCAAAAAATGTACAAAAAAAAAAAGAGAGAGAGAAAAAAAAGAAAATATAAAAGAGAGAAGAAAAAACATAGTATAAGTAAGAACAAGAAATTGCCATATCAGTCCACTACTAGGCCACCGCACCAGTGTAGAAAAAAAAAAAAAAAAAAAATAGTATAGTAGAGTATAGTAAGACATAAAATGCCATAAAGTCCACTACAGGCCACCCCATAAAAATGCTTCAGCGTAGTGAGACATAAAAACGTCATAGTATAGTAAGGCCTAAAACATCAAAAAATGTCACAGTATAGTAAGGCATAAAATGTCAAAAAACATTATACTATACTTAGGCCTAAAACATCAAAAAACATCATAGTAAGAAATAAAAACGTCAAAAAACACCATATTATAATAAGGTGTAAAAATTTCAAAAATGTCACAGTATAGTAAGGCATAAAATGTCAAAAAACGTTATACTATACTTAGGCCTAAAACATCAAAAAACATCATAGTAAGAAATAAAAACGTCAAAAAACACCATATTATAATAAGGTGTAAAAATTTCAAAAATGTCACAGTATAGTAAGGCATAAAATGTCAAAAAACGTTATACTATACTTAGGCCTAAAACATCAAAAAACATCATAGTAAGAAATAAAAACGTCAAAAAACACCATATTATAATAAGGTGTAAAAATTTCAAAAATGTCACAGTATAGTAAGGCATAAAATGTCAAAAAACGTTATACTATACTTAGGCCTAAAACATCAAAAAACATCATAGTAAGAAATAAAAACGTCAAAAAACACCATATTATAATAAGGTGTAAAAATTTCAAAAATGTCACAGTATAGTAAGGCATAAAATGTCAAAAAACGTTATACTATACTTAGGCCTAAAACATCAAAAAACATCATAGTAAGAAATAAAAACGTCAAAAAACACCATATTATAATAAGGTGTAAAAATTTCAAAAATGTCACAGTATAGTAAGGCATAAAATGTCAAAAAACGTTATACTATACTTAGGCCTAAAACATCAAAAAACATCATAGTAAGAAATAAAAACATCAAACAACACCATATTATAATAAGGTGTAAAAATTTAAAAAATGTCATAGTATAGTAAGGCATAAAAATGTCAAAAACTACACAGCGAGATCCATGGAATGAGCTCAAACCAACAACCTTCTCACTTCAACGTGACAGCCCTAACCGCTGTACTACAGGCCACCCCATAAAATGCCTCAGCATAGTGATGTATAAAA